ATTTTGGAGCGGCGTCAGTAAATGTGTCCCGCGACCCAAAGGAGACGAGATGTTCTGTGTGTCCTGACCCACAACATGCTGCCAGCAGAGCTGCTAACAGGAGATGACGAAACAGGTATGGTTTCAATTTATTTAGCTCAGCAACGGTGACCTGTGAAGTCCAAAAAGGTGCATGTTTAATGCAGTTGGTTCGGTTAGAGTCTGGTCTGTATTCACACCAGAAGAGAACTAAAGTGAACCGCACCAGAGTTCGTTTGGAAGCGGACCGAGACCACCTCAAAAAGTAGGTCTCGGTCCGGTTGTTTGATCCGCACCAGAGTTCGCATGAGTGTATTCACACMTGCACAAAAAGTCCGGACCAACGCTGGAAACGAACTCTGGTTCGTTTAAAGCGGAGCAAATTATCAGGTCTGAATACGACCTAAAATTTCGCAAAAAAGGAAAAAACAAAGAAATGCGAATCAGACGTGTTTCCATCAACTGGCTTGAAGTTAATCAATTACGTCAGACTCGTGTGTGTAGTAAACAGGAAGTAAAAGTTGCAAACTGGCAGTGTCCACACATCTCAGGACAATAGAAAGAAATTATCAGGAACAYGTTGCTACTGTTGGGAAAGTTGTAAATATTCTGTCATATGAACTAGTTGGAAGAAATGTAATTCTCTTCACATTACGGGAATAACTAAGACGCCGACAGTGGGAGGTACTGGTACTGGTACCATTCAGACAGCAGGAACAGCTGATCAACCATGTGAGGAAAATGTTCACTATGTCAGAACTTATTCGTCAAATGTGTTTCCATCTCTCCTTTTGAGCATTAACTCTTTTTTGAAAAACCCAAAAACCACCTCAAGCAAGAGTGTCAACTTCTTTACAAATTAGAGGAAGTTTTTTTCGAATCGTGCCATTTCCATTTACCTTTTCTGATGCGATGTTTCAAAATGTGCATTAAAAAACATTGATGGAAACACGGCTACTGGGGCTGTTTTCAGACACACAAACACCAGAGTTATTTTTAGAGAATGTACACCGTAATACTGTAAGTCCTAACTTTCTCCATAAAAGGTCATTCAGATGCACACACATGGCAAACAAGTTAAGTACGCGTCGTTCATTTGTGACTTTGGGTTATRAGAGCTGTTTCTGTCAGCAAACYGAAGCGAGCACAACTCCCCAGGGCTATTTTCACTGCAGAGACATGACTCACAGCTAAACAAAAGCTACACAGAGCATGGCACCCAAACGCTCCTCCTATCCATTTACTGAACGTGTTATTCCAGGAAGGTGCGGCGCCTCAGGTGAGTATTTCCTTGTGTGGCTGGGAGTGGCAGCGACAGGTAGGTGGTACAGCAGGAATATTACATCTGCTGGTTGTTTGAAGTTCAAACATTTTACACACTGAACTAACTAACAGTTGAGAAAGGAAATAGTTCTGTGCATCAAACAGCTGTCAGTAAATCCTAACATTAGCAAACACCAGCTTCGATGAAGATCAGGTGAGATGTTGAGCTGAACTGTGTGCTTTTTCTTGTTTCCCCTCCTCATACCTCGAGTTTTCCTTGTTGTGGTTTGTAGACTACTTGAGGGCAGTCCCGCAGGATGTTGCTGTACAGAGCCCTGAAGTGCTGCATGTTGTCTTTCACAATATTGGCCACCTTAGACTTGTCCTCTCCTATCACCATCCTAATATCTCCTTCAGAAGCACAGACAAAATGTTTTCTCTTTAAAGACAAAGTCAACAAGACTGAAAGAATTACAGCCACATCTTTTCCCGGGTGAGCACAATATTTAAAAAAAAGACTTTTGTTGTTCTTTGCCTTTTTAAGCGTAATTAATGCAAACGTTCTCAAAAACCTAAACTGGGGTTGTACATTTTAAACTATGGGATTTTCAGGTTTATAAGTCACACACCAGCATAAGAAAGACCAGCGATGCGAAGAAAAAGGTCTTCCTCAGAGAAGCTTTCAGGAAGCATGAGGAAGGAAGCTGTGACAGCACTTTTCAGATTGGCCACCAGAGCAGCGTGGAGCTTTCCGTTCTCACTCTGCACCAGCATCTTCACCTGCACAGGAACACACACAACACACGATGAGCAAGTATGCACACACAACGCACGCTGGTAAAGAGTTTCAGTCATCCGGAACATGGTTGCCCTTTAGATAAAAGGCAACTGAACTTATTCTCTTGATTTTGTTGACATTTTGCTTGTTATCAAAATAGACTTTTCAGTTTAAAAAAAGGGCTGTGTTTCAAGCTACAAACTATAGTGAGTTGTGTCATTAATGTGAGTTGAACCCCTATGCAAATGACCCCCCCCCCTCCTCAACCTTAGGCGGATTGCTGCCTTTTTATTTAAGAAAAACAAAGGTCCACTTACATGCACATATGTAAACACTGMAGTCAAAATGAGGTTGGTTTCAAAAATCGGATTTGGAAGCGACTGAAGTTTTATAACACACGTGACGAATATACTGACCGGTTTGTGAAGGCGTCCAGCGACATACATGGTTTTCCAGTGCAAGAGGTCATCAATCAGAGCGTCTGTGCTAATCACACCATATTTGATTACCTGAACAAGGGGAGAGGTATTTGTTCAGTAAGTAAAACCCATGCTGACAGATCAGCTGTACATCACCATTGCTGTGTATATTATATTTACCCTTCCATCCATAGGAACCAGTGTGTTATAGTACACAGAAGCTCCATAATTACTTTGTAGCGAGCTGATCATCGTGGGACCCAGCAACTTGAGGATGGAATAGTGTTTGCGATTCTGCAGCAGATTCATAGTGTGCCATGTCACCGGGTCATCCACAGCAAACACAAAGTCCAGCATGTTTTTCTGTATATATTGGAAAAATAAAAAGATTAAACGAAAAGCTTATTATGTAAATGGATGCAAAGTTAACTGCATTAAAAAGTAGTATGTAGTATATGAAAGCATAGTTCATGTGAGATTTTTAAAGAGAAATGTTTACAAAGACATATTTTGTTTGGGTATGAGAAACTACAGCCAGGTGTTTCCTTTAGTCATATTCACAAGTTATTCACAAGTTATGGATCCAACAACACTGGGTGTGTGTGATTGCATGTAACAGACACATTTAATGCAGCAAAAAAAAAAGTTATTCACTCTCTATCCATGTTGCCTGAATAGGTTGCTTATGTCCAGCAGATGTCGCCATTAAGTGACACAATAAAGGGAATGCATATAGTTAAAAATAAATAAATATGTGCCGAACACTCCACGAGACGTACCATCACTAATAATTACTTAGACCACCCAAGTCACTAGTTTCATCATGTCACAAAAGCAGCGTTAAAAACCTCTTACCTCCATCAGTCCATGGCTCGTTCCATGCTGTTTAAAAACRCCTGAACCGTAAGCAAAAGCCAAACTAATATCCTGTGGGAACTGGGACAGTATCCTCCTATAAAGCACGCCCGTGGTGTGCAATACTGGCAAAGAAGTCATTTTTGAACCAACTCACTGACTTTGAAGCACTGTTCATGAACGACCCACGTTAGTCAGAGGCACAAAAACAGAGTAAAAAAAACTTTAAAAACAAAGAATTGCTCCAGTGACGTATAAGATGCATTTCAAACGGGAATTCTACGACACTTCGCCCAATTAAAGTCTTTGACTGTTTGAAATTAACTCAGTTTTCTGACTAAACTACATTCATCCTGGTCAGCTTGGCTGTTGTGCTGCGTCGACCAAAATATGCGTCACAGATTTCGCTGCGGCGAATGGAATGATGGGAAATGTAGTTGTAAATAGTAGAAACGCAAAATCGCCCTTGAAACTTTATTTATTTATTTATTTGTTTGTTTATTTATCTATCTATGCTATTTTTGAATATGTTCAAGAATTTATTGTATTATGTTTACTATACACAGTTCTATATAAATTATCTAAAAGGTGTAGGTGTATGAGGGC